GGATTTTTCTTGGATCCTAGATAAAAGATTTTCAAGTTGGTGAGCGAAAACTTCCAATTCTGAGTCTAGTCTTTATGTCCATAAGTTTTTTAAAGTAGGTAAACGACAATATTTACCCTAATTTCCACTAATTTAATACCCCACTATCCCTATATTGGTGACCCCAAAGGGGAACGCATCCCAAATAAATGAGGGGAGATACTTCGTGACGCGTATCAACTCATCGGCCTAGGTGAGGAAAACGAGCTGCTTCAATGGCATATAGAAAAACTACGGTAACAGGTCTAACAAAATCACCACCAACAACAACAATATCCGCACCAGACTCAGAGCCCTGCAGTTAATAGAGTCACTGTAAAATTGCCGCCCATTTGATCCGACAAATCAAGCCTATGGTTATCAGTTTACCCTTTCTGAAATTACTAACGAGGTAACGAAATTCTATTAGGTACGTTGTTTCTCAATTAGACGCACGTATCGCATTGGAAATCGAAGATGTCATTACAAACCCTCCTCAATTAAACCTGTACACATTTTTGCGCAAGAAATTAATTGACCATTTATCTGACCGTGCCTGAGAAACAACTCGTTCGTCAATTTATCGCTAACTAAGAAAATTGTCCAAATTTTACCTAAAACATCGACATTCGTCGCCAATGCAGCCTTCAAAATGCTGGTCAAACTTTCTAAAAGTTCACGGAAGATGTTTTAGGCGGTTTGGCTTTCTGTTTTGTCTATATGGATGATATTATTGTTTTTGATGAACGTGAATGTCATCTTAGAATAGAATTTGATGGGTTTTTCAAGTTGTTTTTGTTGGTTACACTATCTCCGAGCTCCTGAAGAACGTGCTCCAGTTGCCGAAGAAAACAGCTCAAGATTTTCGCCGTTTCCTGGGTATGCTAAATTGCCGCAGATTCATACCTCACGCTTTGGAATACAAAGCCCTATTACAAAACGCAGTCAGCAGTCCACCTTTAAGAAGTTTTCAACCAATTACCTGGACACCTGGACTAGAAGAAGCGTTTCAAACCTGCAAAAATTATATTTCTTGTGCTTCACTTTTCGTTCATCCTCGCCTAGGTGCACTGCTTGGTTTATTTACAATTGCCTTAACCCATTCTGTTGTTGAAAATACTTGACAGCTTCTTGCGTTCTTTACTAAGACAATGTTTTCAAACGAAAGTTCTTCTATTTATGTTGCAATTCAGCATTTTCCTCATCTTTCAGAAGGACATTTCTTCACGACTTGCACAGATCATTGATCAAGCCATTGATTTATGCTTTTCAACAAAAACATGATAGACTTCCACCAGTCCAATTTAATCAACTTTCTTTCATCTCGGAATTTGACAGACGTTGAACACGTCACTCTTTCCCGGATCGGGGCTGTTTCCACACCCCTTGATTACAAGTTGTTGGAAGATGAAAATCATCGAAGAAAATTCTTCTCTCCACATCAAACGACTAACGATATTACGCAAACTACACCAAAGTATGTCATTGTGTTGAAATTGAATGCGAATGATGAAATTTTTCGAATGCTGAAGCAACAATTTTAATTTGAAGATGTATCGGTATGGGTTTTATCATCTTTGGGATAATACGAATGGAAAGAAGACAAAAATGCGACGGATGCCAGGAGACTATGAGTTTGGAAATTGCGTTAGTGGATAAGTAGTTGAATGGACCGATTAAGTAGATCACCTTGACGACGGCTAATCTGCAAGCTGAGCTGATTCGACCGTCTTTTAATCCACGAATGTGCTGTAACCGCACGATGCTTTTCGTCGATCTCTCTGCTCCTCGCCGTTTGCTAGGCGCTCGCCTTGCTTCGCACGGCACATACTCGCATGCTTTCCTATGAATGTCGGAATATATGTATGAGGGATATGGGAATAAGCTTGGATTAAATTGGCAGGATTAAGTTTGGCTATTCGTGCGTGTTATCACTTTCCTACAGAGCAGAATAGATCGCTTTTTCAATAATTCGTCGGACACGCTACTTCTTCCGACCGCTTCGCACTTCCACACTATCAACCATTGCACATATACATACAGAGCGTTCCTTTGTAAATTAACAACTTGGGAAAAAATATTTATTTTTTATAATACTTAGCCTTTCATGATCTACCCTGTATTTCCGTATTTGCGTTGCATTGATATTCGAATGTTTTCACAGTTTTACGCATTAATATTTACAGTGTAGACTTTATAATTAATTTATAATTATCAGCGCCGACTAAATGCTAATGCTGAAATAATGCAGTGCGTAATTTTGAGTAAGTGATTTATACATCCACTCGTGAGGTAAATAATACACGTAGGTGATTATTAAATTTCTTTACGCAAATCATTACTTTTAATGCGTTCTGGTAATTCTCGTACCACTAATTTTCCGTAAAAAAACATTCTTGTAATTTGTACAAAGTTTAACCGATAATTTGCGCAAACCAGTCTTAACGTTTTAATTTATAGAAAGAAAAAATATTCCAACTGGAAACGTGTTTGTAATAACGACATTAAATAATTACTGAAATAAAACTCATCTTATTGTCCAAGAAACATAGTTCGGGTAATGAAATTTTATTTAGGTATTTCAGCAAATTATTTCTAAAAAGATTGTCCTTAGTGTGTTTAAATATTTTCCCTTTACGATACTTATAGGAATGGTGTGAAACGTTTAAAAGAGAACAAAAATTATCGGGTTGTTCGGAAAGTCATTTCGTTTTTTCCCGACAGAGGATTTAATTGTATTCTTTTGCACCCAACTTCACATTTAAGCCGTATAATTTTTATATGCTTTGAGAGCTCATACAGCAAGGCTTGTGTGTGAAAAATTCCAATTAATTCTACGCAGTAGTTTTTGGTTGGTGCCCTTTTAAATATGGAGAGCGATAAGCAGCATTTTCGACATATCTTACTGTTTTACTACAGAAAGGGTAAAAATGCTGTTCAAGCCAGAAAGAAATTGACTGATGTGTATGGAGAAGGTGTGTTGACAGTACGCCAGTGCCAGAACTGGTTCGCTAAATTTCGATCCGGCAATTTTGATGTCGAAGATGCACCACGTTCGGGAAGGCCGGTTGAAGCTGATAAAGACGCGATAAAGGCATTAGTTGATGTGAACCGGCGAATAACAACACGTGAGATCGGATTGAGGTTAAATTTATCAAATTCAACAGTTTATGACCACTTGAAAGGCCTGGGATTATCCTCGAAGCTCGATGTATGGGTTCCCCATGTTCTCACAGAGAGAAATCTGTGTCGCCGCATTGACGTCTGCGATTCGCTTCTCAAACGTCACGAAAATGATCCGTTTTTGAAGCGCATCATCACTGGGGACGAAAAATGGGTTGTATACAACAACGTCAAACGCAAGAGGTCATGGAGCAAAAAAGATGAACCGGCTCAAACCATTTCCAAAGCCGATATTCACCAAAAAAAGGTGATGCTGTCTGTTTGGTGGGATTTTAAAGGAATCGTTTTTTTTGAGCTTTTACCGGATAACACAACGATTAATTCGGAAGTCTACTGTCATCAGCTGGACAAACTGAATGATGCACTTCAACAGAAAAGGTCAGAACTAATCAACAGGAAAGGTGTAGTGTTTCACCAAGACAACGCGAGACCTCACACAAGTTTGGTCACTCGCCAAAAGCTTTTACAGCTTGAATGGGATACAATGCTACACCCACCATATTCTCCAGACCTGGCACCATCGGATTATTATTTGTTCCGGTCACTCCAAAATTTTTTAGACGGTAAAACCTTCACCTCAAATGAGGAGGTCAAAAACCTCCTCGATCAGTTTTTTGCCAGCAAAGACCAAAAATTTTATGAGCGTGGAATTATGCTACTACCAGAAAGATGGCAAAAGGTGTTGGACCAGAACGGTCAATATATAATTTAATAAAGTATTTGTTTATTATACGAAAACTGTCTTTCATTTCCACAAAAAAAAACGAAATGACTTTCCGAACAACCCTATATTATCGGCTAGCTGTAGTGTAGAATGAGAGAAACAGAGAAGCAATCTGGCTGTTTGGCTTAAAAGAGGTCACTATTAAGTAGACCAGAACAAGAACAAAAGTTTATCCTTTGTCAAACCGGCGAATGTTATCTGTCGCCCTTTTCGTCTTGCCCCTCAATGCTTGCGGGATTCAGACGGATTGTGAGAGTTAAGCAGATTATCTGTCCATGATTGATGAACCAACGGTTAGCCTGTCCTCGGCCGGCTATTCGACGGGCCGATTGTAAACTAACCAAATCCAAAATCAACTTCACCCGACTTCTTAAGACACACTACCTTACGTGATTGGAATAACGGCGTTGGCAAAATAAATTTCTATTGTCGCCGTCGATATTTTATTGCGACGTATGATAATTTTAATAAGCACTTATAGAACTATGACTTTGATGTATCGATGTTATTGTACTCATGTATAGGGTTTTGAATACAAACGAAATAATGCGAATGGGAGTGCTGGAAATTACTTAATCCCAAGTAAAATAAGGCATGCAGCAGACGACGCTCGCAGGTAGACAGTCAGTCGCCCATATGGCGTGGATGTCTTTCAGATAAATCCAACGATACTAGAGATGGCCCACTAGATAGAGCAGGATTAAGCGGAAGGTAGGGAATTAAGAGAAGATGAGATTAGAGGGACCCTGGTCTGTGTGTCGAGACGGGAAGCACGAGATTAGGCTTTAGGGATTAACATTTAGGAGGGATCAAATATAAAGAGAAAAAATTGAAAGCCGCTCTCTCGTGGACTTATAAGTATCTGGACCGTAGCTAGCTCTAAAACGTATATAATCTCCATTTTTCTTTTCAAATAAACCACTCCATTACTCTCAAAACAAAATCAAGTCGAAAGTTTTATTCCCTTTATAAAATCGATCGTTATCGTATATATAAAATGAATTTGTGTGCTTCGAATAGATAGTTTGGTCCTGTAACATCCCTCACCCTTAAAAAATATCGAAATGTTTCTTACTACTTCCAGATTTGGCATGGTCGAATTCTTCTTTAGCCGATGGAGAGGAAACAGCCGATTCAATAGAATTGGTAGACCGAGGTGGCACAGGTGTACAGACACTCTCAGTGGAATCACGACCCGACAAATGTGACGCTGCAGGGGTTGATGCAGGAGGTGGTGTCTTACAGTTCCTGGTTAATGCGATCGCGTGACTCTGAAACGTATCAGAAAACAACTTTTTAATTCTTACCTTTACTTACCCATTTCAAATATGAAACGATTTTTTTTTCATCCAATAAAAAGTATGCTTTTACCTATTTATTGGTGGATTTGAAATCGTTTTCCACGAGTTTCCAATAGGAAAATATAATAACAAGAAATTTAAAATATCATAACACAAGTATTTAACAACAACACGAGATTCCATAATTGAAATTGACCTCTTCTGCCAGTTTATTTGCAATAATATTTAAACGAATTATCAAGTCTGCAAATTTGTGGGAGAGGGGGGGGGGCAACCATTAAATCTAGACTACATATAAATTTACGTATGTGATGTTACACGGGTTCCTTTGTGTGAGATACTAGACGACTTAAAAATAAATCTCACATCTTGATTGCTGCTAGCCATGTCGTAAGCGGTTTAATCTAGGTTAAGTGGGGTCAAAAAGCTTTAAAATTCTTTCGTGTTATAATTACTATATCATCGTCTAAACGGAGGAGTGAATGTTAAATAATAGGCGGGAGAGTCTGATATGTTAAGGTAAATCCCCTAATGCAATTACCTAACACAGATTTCGTTTATTAAAAAACTGGGCTTAGTTTTTTTCATTACTAGAAATTGACAAATATATTTTCTTTAATGTAGAACTAAGTACAAACTTTTTTTAGTAAATGTAGAAGTTCGTGAAAATTGAGTGCAATTGGTATAAACCGTGTTGTCTCGATAAGAACTTAGCATCCCCTTATTCGTCAAAATAGCATCTATCCTCTTTAGGAAATAACCGACTCAGTTGTAAGGAGATCTATATGGCAAGGCAAGATGACTCATAATTTTGTTAATCCGAATATAACAAGCATTTCTATAGGGCTCAACGGGTCTCAGTTGAACGGTATCTTCTAATCTGCACCAAACGAAGTCATCCTCAAAAGTTTTGCGAACAGAAGAAGTACGGCGCACAATAATCCCCGAAAGCAGATTTAGCATAATTAAGAAGATCACAAAAACTTGATACACAAAATAACAATTTTCATCGATTTATTGTTAAATGGCTGCCGCAAGAATATGCTCCTCCTTTTGCTTCTATACTCGCTTTCAATTAGTGACTGTACTACTTCGTTTATCATTACTTTTAAAAGGACTAAAAAAAAATATCAAAAAGGAAAGGTAGATGCTTTATAAAAAGAACAAGATGTAACTAAGGGATGCTAAAGGATGATAAGTATTATAAGAAAATATCGGTCTATTCCTTTGAAGTAACCAGTCTGAAGATGTGGTATTTTCTAGTACACCTAGGTAACTACTAACGACATACGCACAATAAAGTAGGCATTTATAGCGAATTGTTAGTTATAATTTTAAACAACAATTTACAAAAGTTCTTGTCCAAACTGTTCCGGGCTTAGTTCGTAATTTCCGAAATCAGTAAGACTTGTTCACTCGTAAAAATATTTAAAAAAATAAATTCTAGCAGGTTCGTATTAGTTATGAACAAAGCAAGATCAAGGTATTGGTTTTGTGATTGAGTCTTCGTCTTCATCTGATACTTTTCTTTTTTTATATTTAGTGTTAAAATTTAGTAAAGCAAATTGATAATTTTTACTAATTTTCATACCATACAAACTCTTGTGGCAACTCCGTTCATATTTAACTTAAAGCTATTTCTAACTTCATCCTTACCAATTAATTTAAATTAAATAATTTTTAATAATATTCTATCCCAATTTTATTGAATTGTACATACACACAATAGTGAGAAATTATTTTCTAATTTTAAAGTGAAAGGACGACATTGTGTGACCTTCTGTAGTTCTCGAGTTCAGATACTCTATCTACCATTTGAACTTCTACACGTCTTCTTCGCTTATCCTTTGCTCTCCGATTGTTCGCCCCAATAGTGATAGATGAAGAGTCTTTATCTCAAACAAACACGTCAGCAAAAAAAGGCATAAACATCTAGATCAGGTAAACAACGAATTTATTACTTCAGTATTCGACGTGATCTTGGCGGATTAACAACCGTATTTAAGGTTAATTATTAATCGTGTGAAAAGTTTTGATTCTGTGTTTTCGTGTGTGCTATTGGTGATTTGTTAAGACGGGGTGCAGAATGACCATCTTCGTAAGGTAGGAATTTTAAATAATCACAAATCTAAAGGGTACCTATATTAAGAATGACAGAAAATTTGAAATTTTGTTAATTAAATAATAAGTCTTCATGGTTTCCTTGCAAGAAGGGGTGAGAGGGGTAATAATCGGTGTGAATCAGGTGTAATTTGTTTTGCTATGTGTAGCAAAGAACAGGTTTGTGTGCATATTGCTTTTTAATAGCCAGTTACTTTTTGTAGCTGCCTCGTAAAACTAGAAACGAATACAGACATTTTTATTTAGTAATTACACGGCTTATTAACATATTGTATGGAAAATTAGAGTCCTTTTAGCGTATCAAGAGTTTGTACCTTGTCGCAGCGGCCGCTTGTTTGATACCCAATTTGTTTCTCACACTGCAAAGCTAATAAACGAAATTTTACTTTCATCAGGGTGCGAAATTATTGATCATTTTCAGTTAGTGAATTGGCAAACAATATAATTTTGCATAGAGTCTTTTAAGGCGTTTCTTTATTTCAAAAACTCATAGTTAATTTACTTTGTTTCTATTTTAAATGCATTCTAGGTTCTTCATTTAAATGTAAAATTAAAAATGAACTATGTGTATTGGTATTGGCACATGTTTTACTGATAAAACTTGCTACAACGTCGTTTTTGCTTTATTTTAATAAACGCAGGTAAAGTTAGAATAGTTTTGCAAATTAAGGTTTCAACTTTTGTCGCAAATGAATTGTATAAAAATTAAATGGAAAACATACTGCTAGTGATTATAATTATAATGTGATATGCACATTGTATTCACATTCGGCTAATAAATTTGAAAATAATTTCTTTCTTAAATGCCGATTGTTCTGATATTGCAAGCTAGCTACATTCGGATATATTGTTGCTGATATCACCTTTAGCACATAATTTTTTACTGCCATATTGTCGCATGCAATTATAGGTTAATCCACTTGTACTGTAATAAATCCGTATCCAGTTTTGAACAACAATTAACTTTATAATCTATAACTTGTACTATATCAAATTGCACAACTGACTCACCTATCAATTTACAATTCCCAAGACAACCCCAAAAAGAATTTATTTTCGTTACACTTTTAAAACTTTATTATTGTTATTAATTGCAAAACATTTGCGCTAGGTACATTATTAATTCTTGTAAATAATATGGCATTAGGGTAATTATTTAGGGTGGTAGTTATATATATATATATATAACTACCACCCTAAATAATTACCCTAATGCCATATTATTTACAAGAATTAATAATGTACCTAGCGCAAATGTTTTGCAATTAATAACAATAATAAAGTTTTAAAAGTGTAACGAAAATAAATTCTTTTTGGGGTTGTCTTGGGAATTGTAAATTGATAGGTGAGTCAGTTGTGCAATTTGATATAGTACAAGTTATAGATTATAAAGTTAATTGTTGTTCAAAACTGGATACGGATTTATTACAGTACAAGTGGATTAACCTATAATTGCATGCGACAATATGGCAGTAAAAAATTATGTGCTAAAGGTGATATCAGCAACAATATATCCGAATGTAGCTAGCTTGCAATATCAGAACAATCGGCATTTAAGAAAGAAATTATTTTCAAATTTATTAGCCGAATGTGAATACAATGTGCATATCACATTATAATTATAATCACTAGCAGTATGTTTTCCATTTAATTTTTATACAATTCATTTGCGACAAAAGTTGAAACCTTAATTTGCAAAACTATTCTAACTTTACCTGCGTTTATTAAAATAAAGCAAAAACGACGTTGTAGCAAGTTTTATCAGTAAAACATGTGCCAATACC